GACAAACTAAAAAAAATCCATATCCATACATATCATAATCAAACTGTCAACAATCGAAAAAAAAAATAAAAGGATCCTGAAAAGTGAAATATAATGGCTCACATTGAAGAGATCTTTCAGTTTCTCATCACAAACCATGGAGATTCGAAGACCACGAGAGGACATTAAAAGTGCTGAAAGAAAAATACCATCAACCAAGTCTCTTACATCTACAAAACTATAATTCAAGAAGAAGAAAAATATGTCATTCCAAGACACACAAGACTGAGACATCAGCAAACCTGCCACACAAGAACTATTAAAAACTGTCTGTCTGTGTGAAATGAAACAATATTTGAGAGTATCTTGTTTCCATATGAAAAGAAAGAGCAGCAGGGCATCGTGGTTTATGCCTGTAATCACAGCATTTTGGGAGACTGAGGCACGAGGAGCTCAAGTTTGAGTCCAACATGGGCAACTTAGCAAGAACCTGTCGCAATGTAAAAAAAAAAAAAAGTTTAAAAGAGCTGAAGATACAGATCAGTGCAAAGACCTTGTGTTCAATTTTCAGTGTCACACACATGAAAAGAATACTGAGGAAGGTAACCAAATAGGTAAAATTTTAAAAGTACATATATATGTTTGGTTATAATTCTTTTTTCCTCTTATTTGATTTTAAAAGATAGCTACAGGGCTGGAGATTTAGCTCAGTGGTGTTGACACCTGTCTCACAAGCGCAAGGTCCCAAGTTTGATCCCTGGTACCAAAAAGAAAAAAAGACAATTGCATAAGGTTATAACTATAAATCTATGCTTATGATGATGGACAAACAATGTGTGAATATGTAATTTGTATGGCAACATTATGAGAAGGGGGAAAGGAACTTGACTATATGGAAACAAGCTTTTGTATACTACTGATTTTAAGTTGGTATTAATCTGGAATAGATTGTTAAATTAAGATATATACTGTAATCATTCCAAACAAAAGTATGTATGTATACATAGAGAGTCTGCCCAAAAATGTATACACACTTCAGGAAAAAAAATAGTATGACTGTTTTTTCAACAGATAGTGTTACCCTCATATGATCATATATTGCAGAGAGAATGTTGGATACTGCAGAAAACCTACTACACTGCTGGCCCTTAGAGAAGAAATTGAAAATTCATGTATAGCAATCTCAAAGACCAAGGTTACTCAAGCAGCAGTTTGCTATACTAATAAACATCTGGAAGCTAATGGCCACCACTTTGAGCACCTCTTTTTGGGAGTGGGGCACCAGGGATCGAACTCAGGTCCTTACACTTGCAAGGCAGACAGCAGAACCACCGAGCCAAATCCCCAGCCCTGTGCACCTCTTTTAATTGCAGAGGTCAAAGGTAACTTGCATTAATCTCATGATGCCCTAATAAATTTAGTATTAAAATATTTATAATAGTTTTTCTTTTCCTGAAGTGTGTATACATTTTTAGTGGACTCTCTATATTGCTCTGTGTGTGTGTGTGTGTATGTGTGTACAGTAAAAGAAATGAAAAGAGTTAAAAATAGTACATTAGAAAATATCTAGAAAAAGAGAGCAGTAATGGAAGATGATGGAAAGACATAAGACATACAGAAAACAGCAAAATAACAAATCTTTTCTTACTAGTAATTACATTAAATGGATTAAATATCCCAATCAAAATTAATACACTGAAACAAAAATTGATACATTGGCAGAATGAATTTAAAATGTGCAATTCCACTGTACGCTCTTTACAAGAGACACACTTTACATTCAAAGATAAACACATGTTGAAAGCAAAAGGATAGTAAAAGCAATGCTGTGTATTCAATAACCAAAAGAGACCTATAGTGCCTGTTCTGATATTCTCCAAGATAATTTTAGGGCAAAAATTATTATTAGACATAGAGGAGCCTTCTTTTTCTTTGAGATGGCGTCTCGCTGTGAGGCCAGGCTGATCGCAAACACCTGGACTTTTGCTTCATCTTCCCAAGTTCTAGGACAATAGGCCCATGCCTGTGCCCAGCAAGAGGGACATATTTTACTAATAAAAGTATCAATCCATCCACAAGACATAACAATTATAAACACATGTAATTAACAACAGCTTCAAATACGTGAAGCAAAAACTGACAGAATTGAAGGAAGACAGAAAATAGCAAGTAACTTTTGGAGACTTCATTTTGTCTCTTTCTTCCCTCTCCCTCTTCTCTCTCCCCCCTCTCCCTCTTCCTCTCTCTTTTTCTTTCGTACTGCGATGGAACCCAGGTCCCAGGGAGTTACCTCCTAGCCCTACCCTCCCACACACACCCCCCTGGTTTCTGTGTTTGTTTGTTTTTTGAGGGAGGGAGGGTATCACTGTGTAGTTCAGGCTGATCTTGAACTCTCCACATAGCCCAGGCTGGCCTCAAACATGTTTCAATCCTGCCTCAGCCTCCAGAGTCCTGCAATTACAGGCATGCACCACCACATCTGGCTTCCCAGCCATTTTGCATTTTTATTTTGAGACAGGATCTCATTAAGTTACCCAGACTTGGCTCAAACTTGCAATCCTCCTGCCTCTCAGCTTCTGTATTGCTAGGATTACAAGTATAGGCCATGTCTGGCCATTCTGTCACATTTATTTATTTATTTATTTATTTAGGGGAAGTTTTATCTTTATTTTTTATCCAGGTTAAATGGAGAGAGAGAGAGAGAGAAAAAAAAAACCCTTAGGGCCTATGATTAGTCAGAGGAAGAAAACAGATTGTGAGAAGAAAAAGTCTCACCAAAATTTAAGACTCTAAAAAACAGCAATAGTCTTTGTCTCCTAAATAAGACACTATCCCAGGACTTTGCAGATATTCTTCCTTTAAAAGTAAGGCCCTTCAGCCAGGAGTGGTGGTGCACGCCTGTATCCCAGAACTCGGGAGGCTGAGGCAGGAGGATCACTGTGAGATTGAGACCAGCCTGGGCTACACAGGGAGTTCCAGGTCAGTCTCAACTACATAGTGAGACCCTGTCTCAAAACGACATGAAAAAAAATATAGAGCTGAAACACAATATTCAGGTGAGATCACTCCTGGAAAAGCACACATGTCATCCATCAGGACAAACTTATTCGTGGAGCTTCAACACTGGGTTGATAAATAATAGAGACCTTATACTTGACTAAACTTTGTGAAAGAAAATCTAAAAGAGTAAAACCTTGAGAATAAAAATTACAGCTTGAAGGCACAAAGGAAATCTGAATGAGGTGTATGACACCTACTTTTTGGCATAATTTTCTGTTCTTAGGAGTTCAGATTTAAAAAAAACAATTCATATGTACAGCCCCCTGGTCTCTCTTCCTTTCTTCTTTCTATGTCCTTCACTGAGGAGCACCCCTAATACCAATGAATGCCTGCCAAAGTCCAGGACAAAAGGCACCCACATTTGGAGGGGAGCAACAAATAATCTATGGGTAAATATAAATGTAAATTCAAGGAAGTCATCAATACTCTTAGCTACCGTGACCTCTGACTATCTAAAGACCAAAACCGGGGCCTTCAAGTCCCCAGTGGAGTATATTATCCAACTATAAAGGCAAATGTGCAACTAGATTCTTAGTATAATTTGTAAACTAGAGAAAAGGGTCACTACTCCATGGTGCTCATTGACTGATATGGTAGCGTAAAGGTCTCATGCTCAAAGAAACCTGCAGTGAAAGTCTGCCCAAGCTAATCCAGATTCTTGGATGAAAATGAGAAAAAATAATTCTGGATAACTTCACAAGAAAAGCAACTTACTGGAAAAATATGTCTATTATTCACTTTTTCTGTTATTGGGATGAATTACCCAATAGCAGTAAATTTAAGGAGGAGAGGTTGATGTGGCCCCTGGTTTGAGAGGGTTCCAGTCACTGAGACAGAGTCTTGACAGAAGGGCCTGGCCGAGGAAAGGCTTCGCTTCATGGTGGGCAGCAGCAGAGAGTGAGGAGGAGGAGCCATGCACAGGAACACACCCTTCCACACCTCTAGTAACCCTCTTCTGACCAGGCCGCACTTCATAAGGCACCCAGCTACAAATTCATCAATGGACAAATCCCACGATGCTTATGTCACCCTCATGATCCAATCACCTTCAAAAGCCCCACCTCTGAACACAGGAGACGTCTGAGTGCAGTGGTTTAGGTATAGTTCGGGCTGCTCGGGGCTGTCCTTCCATGTAATGGTGGAGATGGTTCGGCAACCACTAATACAATTTGCTTATAAGCAGTCATGTGGCTAGAGGCGCTGCTGCGTTCAGACACACATAGGAAATCTTTTTTTTTTTTTTTTTTTACTATGTAGTGAGACTGACCTGGAACTCACTATGTAGCTCAGGCTGGTCTCGAACTCACAACGATCCTCCTGCCTCAGCCTCCCGAGTGCTGGGATTACAGGCGTGCGCCACCACGCCCGGCCACACATAGGAAATCTTAGCTTACCACCAAACATAATTCAAAAGAACCATAAATTATCATCACAAAATTTTCCTTTTGCCCAATAAGGCCGCCAAAAATAATGTGCCAGGCAGGGTGGATCCCAGTCCCCAGCTACACCGCCGTTTGAGGAATATTTTAGAAGTAAAACATCACAAGTAGGTAGGCCAGAGGGTCTTCAAGAAGGCACAAGGGTTTGGAAAACAGCCAGCAATCAAAGCTGGACTGTGAGAATAATCCCCTCCTCAATACTCCAAGACAGGTGGGTGGTGCTTCCAGGGATGTCACCATGAGCCCCACTAGAGACTGGACACCATTACTGTGGGAGGAATAAATTCTAAAGGGTCCACTGCACCACTTCAGCCATCCCACTCTTACCCTCAGGAAGAGCTGCCCATCAGAGGGACCGAACATGGGACAGACGTTTAGGTACAAGTGTGGGGCCTCTGAAGCTTCCATGATAGAAAACCGAGGCACACAGCCCGAGACTCATCCAGGAGATCCCCCCAAATGGAGACATCCAAAGGTTGCGCAACCAAATGTGAAGCCTTTCACACAGAATCCGCAACTTACCAGATACGTGATGGTGAGCAAGTGACTTTATTCTCCGCATCTCAGTTTCACTGGCCCTAAAAACGGAACAATTAACATCCATCTCGAAAAGCTGTCTGAGGATAAAGGGACGCTAATGTTCCGTCAGTCTGGTGGTGTTCTTTTGACCTGGATGTGAGGTAGAAAGTTATCACTTTTAATAATAGAACAACCAGGCAATATATTAAGAAAGAAACGGAAGACTCAAATACTTTTTTTTTTGAGGGGCCAGTGATGTAACTCAGCGGCACCATGCCTGCCTGGCAAGCACAAGGTCCTGAGTTCGATCCCTGGTACCAAAACAAAATCCATACCTTCAAGCAACCAATAACACTAAAATATATAAAATAAAATGGAATATATCTAAAGAATATACAAAAGTCCAGATGCTAATAAAAAAGAAAAACGTAAGAAGATTAGAAGGATGTCTAGAAATATGTGGCTCATTTCCACAGTAACAACTATAAAAACTTGACAATCAGATTTGTTGCATGTTCAGCCTTGAATCTTCGTGTTATATATTCATTCTAATCAAACATATTACAGATAAATCTTGAGTTGATTTTCAGGACACTTGCCAATACTATTATAACAGGGAGGGAACCTTGGCAATGATTATTATTATTTTTTTTGTACTGGGGATTGAACTCGGGACCTTGAGCTTATGAGGCAGGTGACAGCACACTGAACTAAATCCTGGCCCTTCTGTGATTGATCTTTATAGCCCCCACTAGGTATTTATATCTAATATAATAGACTTTGGGCAAATTTCTAATAGAAAATTCTCCCTCTAGTCAAAGGCATACAAAATCCAAATGCTGTGCATTTATTTCAAGTAATATTTGCTAGAGAGATGCTTTTTTACTATAAAAGAATTAAAAGCCCCCTGGACTCTTCCTTCTCCATCATTGTTGTAATTATCATGGGTGACAATATCATCATCGTCTTCACCACCACAACTACCACTTAATGACTTGGTTACTGGTATGCCAGTGATTTACACATAACAATTCATTTAATCCTCATAGCAATAGGATGAAAGAGCTATTATTACAGTCCATATGTAACTTTTAAGGAAATAGAGCCCAAAGATATTCAGAAAGCAGGGCTGGCGATGCATTTGCTTAATACATGTGAGTCCAAAGGCCCCTGGGTTTTAATCCCAGCACAGGAAAAAGAAAGGAAGGAAAGAAGGAAGAGAGGGAGGGTAAGAGGGAAAAGAATCAAAACTTAGTTGAAATAGTGGTGCTTGAATTTAAAAATCATGTTTGTTTTACTCAACTCATTGATGTTGTCAAAAATATCTATTGAGCCACTACTACACGCCAGAGACTGTATAGAACCGGATTCAGAATTCAAATAGTACAAAATGGTATACTGCACGCGGCCACTTGCTATCTCATTGTCCCCTATGTACCCACCATTATGCGGTCTTCTTCTAAGTAACCAAGGTTTCTCGTGAGAGCTGTAATTTCAGCTGATTTCCTTTCTGAATCAAACCTCGGTGTGAGTAATGTTTCCCACATTTCTTAACAGTTACAACTTCTTTGATGTCTTGAATAAGTCATTCTTTCAGGTCCATTTCACAGCTGAGGGAGAAGTGTGATTTTAGGAAGCCAGATAGTCCTTGAACTTAAGTCTTTGTGGAAGAGGAGGATAAGCTCCTGTAGGTTAACTGCAGGGTCTTTACCCTCCATTTTTCTAGAGCCTGATCACCCCTAGTGCTGGTAAATCCCCATATTTTGGATCTCCACAATGTCCCTCCACCCAGCATTCTCTGAACCAACCTCTCCACCCTCCCAACATACACACACACACACACACACACACACACACACACACACACACACACACAGCATCCCTGAAAAACATAGGCCTTTGGAATGCTTTGTTGGTGTGGCATCATAACATTTGTTGCCTTTTGCTTTTTCTCAGAATAGAATCTTGAGAGTTAAGAACAGGAGAACTTTGCACTCATCAGGACTATAATCTGGACTGCCTTTTTCCTTCGGATATTTGGTTCCTTGGTAATGAAGTTCTTCCTCTCCTTCCTGGATGATTAGAAGGGTACTTCACTTGTGACAAAATGACAGGGAAGGTGCATAGGATGCAGGTTAGAAAGTCCCATGGCCCACACAGCCAGAATCCCTGTCCATCACTTCTGGTACTTTTTCAAAGGTTGGTGCATAGGAATTTTGCTCTACCTCTTTAGACTTAGATTATATGCTAAAATATCACGTCAGATATTTTAATTGTTAAAATTATTGTATGCCACATTACTGTCTACCATGTCACATCCTTACATTATTTATAATTATATAATACTGAGATATAATTTGTATATCATACAATTTAAACTATTTTTCTCTAAGATAGTTACAAAGTTGTGAAACCATCACAATAACTTTTAGAATGTTTTCATCCCCAGAGAAACCCTAAATCCATTAGCAGTTCTCCTTCATGTACTTCCAACTTCTCTATCCCTAGACAACTCTGCTTTTTGTCTTTAGGGATTTGACTCTTCTGGACATTTTATATAGAGTCACATAATATATGACATTTTATGACATACTTCTTTTGAAAAATGTATTTCCAAAGTTCATTCATGTTGTAGTGTTATCAGAACTTCATTCCTTTCCATTAACAAGTAAAATTCCTTGGTGTGGATATACCTTATTTTATCTGTCCATTCATCACTTGATAGACATTGGGCTGTTCAAGTTTTTGGCTGTTATATTTCCACTTTTTGACTATCGTGAAAAAGTCTGCTGCAAACACTTGTGAATAAGTTTTCATTTCTTGGGTATACACCTAGAGATGGAATTGCACTATTCCATTTGCACTGGTACTCTATGTTTAATATTTTCAGGAACTGCCAGGCTGTTTTCCAAAGCAGTCAACTTCATTTCACACTGCTACCAGCAAAGTGTGAGGTTTCTAAATTACACATCCTCATTAACACTTGCTTTTAAGTTTTTTTATTGTAGCTATCCTTGTAAGAAGTGGTACCTCTTTGTGGTTTTAATTTGCATTTCCCTGATGATTAATGATGTTGAACATCTTTTTGTGTGCTTATTGGACATTTGAATATCCTTTTTGGAGAAATACCTACTCAGTTCTTGCACTCTTATTGAGTTCTTCAAAACTTTTACATTGAATAAATAAATATCATAGATGCTACCTAAGGATTCATGGCCAGTAAAATTCACCTATATCACAGTGCTACGTAATACACATTGTACTATGTAAAATGTGGGAAGGAGGCTGGAGGAGTGGCTCAGTAGTAGAGCACTTGCTGAGCATGAATGGATGGGGATTTGATCCACAGCACCACCAAACCAAACCAAAATGAAGCATGCCGGGCTGCCTCGTAAGCACAAGGTCCTGAGTTCAATCCCCGATACTAAAAAAACCAAAAACTAAACAAGCAAGCAATAAAAACCAAAGAAAATAAAACAAATAAACAATTCCAGTAAAAGGAAGAAAGAGAGCGCTGGTGAAGAGAAGACAAGGTAATTATTGGTTACCACCTATGTATTTTGGGCTCTGGTCCCATTCCTGACATGGACAAGACATTTCTATTTGATCAGACTGTCATTTTGTTAAATTAGTAAGGCATTAAAATACTAATTAGATTTTGTCAAATACTAAATAAGATGAAACAACTTGATATGAGATTTAATAAATTATCGTCATTCCACTTGGTATGGTGGCTCAAGTCTGTAAGTCCAGTTCTTCGAAAGGATGAGGCAAGACTGCAAGTTCATGTCCTGCCTGGGCAATTTAGCCAGATCCTGTCTCTAAATAAAAAAAATTAGTAAAGGCCTGGGAATGTAGTTCAGTGTGAAAGCTGTGGGTTCAACCCACAGTACTGCAAAAATAAAAATAAAAAATAAAAACAAAAATTATTGTCATTCCAACACTCAAAGGTAATAAGTCTTGCAGTGTAAGTAGAAATAGAACTAAATTGCTATAACAAAATCCATTTGTGCTTTTCAGCTACAGCTAATTTGGAATTTTACCTCTCTATATATTTAATTATTGGAAATAAGTTGCAAAAAAGTCTACATAAGTTCTTACTTGATAAATTAGAGGTGAGAACTACCTTTTCTTCTTACAAAATCTGGTCCTTTGCACAATGATGAAAATAAATGGTGCCAAATTTTTGGAGAGAGTCTTGTTTAATTTGGTATATAATTAAAATCTCATGTAGCTTTATTGGTTTTAGTATCCAGCAGAGAAAAAATATTGAAACTCCAAGAGATTTTTGAATTAAATAGCTACAACAGTTTTGTTTTATTAGTTCTGACTGTGTGAAAAAAAAATCATAAGGACAATGTTGGAAAAATCTAGTTCTTTTAGATCCCCAAATGACTTTTAAAACAATAAAACAAACTATAAAACCCACTCAAGTGATATTAAAAATTATGTAGTTCAATAAATGTGACATTCACAAATGTGGTTGCAATTTTTTTAACTACAGCAAAGTGAACACGGATCTGATGACTGGACTTACAAAAGGTAGTGTTATATAGCTTAACAGAATTAAGTGCTTCAATTTGCTGGTGAGGATTATGTAGTTGAGTTGGAATGTTATACTACCTTTTTAAAGATCGACATCTCCTTCTCAGGGCCTGTGGTGACATCAAAGAAGGAAACGATGCTTCCTTTATTAGTGATTATTTAATGATTAGAGAACATTTCTCTAGTAATAGTGATTATTAACAATCATTTTCCCAGCATTTTAATATTTGGGGGTATATTTGTACATTTATCAAGCCCAGAATAAATTAGTACTATGAACTCATACTATTTTTGAAGATGATATATTAAGTCTAGTGATTTATGTAAAGGCCGTAAATGAACAGGATTAATTATTCCAGTTACTAGCTAGGTGGAAGGGGCAAAAATGAAGAAAAACAAAATGAGGGGAAACACTTTGTGAGAAAAAAATGTTACTTGCTTAGTTCACTGAGGCCCTAATCTTTGAAGACCAAATATAACTTTTGAAGGGATATTTGAAGTTCAGACAATAACTGTCCTTTCTTGGTCCTCAGAACCTGTGTCTGTTCTCGGAACACAGAAGAACAGATTGAGTTCTCCAGCAGGCCTTGCAATGAGAATGATGGCTGGTGGAGACTACAGACATCAGAGCTGACTCACAGAGAGCCACATGATTCCCCAAAACTCCTCCATTAATGGTTCCAAGGGTAAGGAGCTACCTAAAATTATATGCAGACTTAACAGATAATTACAATTTTTACCTTCAAAAAATGAAGCAGTGCTTTCATTTTTAACATTCAAAATCATACTTTCTCCCCAGGTTTTATGTTGAAAACTTAAAAACCTACAGAGGTTTAGTTTAGTTTATCTCCACATATGTGTACCTAAGTATGTATGTATTAAGAATGTGTGCATATATATGTGTACATTGAACTATTTGAAAATAAGCGGCAGATATCATGACCTACCACCCCTTAATACTTTTTTTTTTTTTTTTTTTTGTATCAGGGATCAAACTCTAGACTTTGTGCTTTCGAGGCAGGTGGTGGAACTACTGAGCTAAATCCCTGGCCCCAATGCCTTAGTTTATATCTCTCAAGAATTACATTTTCCAGTATAACTCACAATACCAACATCACACCTAAGACAACATTAGTTTAATATTGTCACCTAACATACAATTAGTATTTACATTCCTTTACTATCCTTGAGCAAGTCTTTTATATATTTTTCAAAAACCTAGAGTCCAATCAGTTGGGGTGATATCATGAGACCTTGTGAGATGCCTCATCTTTAACATTTCACACATTACTTTTGCTGTCCAAGGATGATTTTCTTGAACAAAAGGTTATATTTTCTGATTTTATCAACTTTCTACATTTGTTAGCTGGCATTCTTCCAGTTTTCCCACCCTCTACCCCTTTCTCTTACTTTGAGTTATTACCATGAGCTCATGAAGGGCTATAAACAATGTATTATAATCTCTTCAAATTTAGCCAATGCAAGCCTTTTCAAGGCAGCCTGCCCACCCACCCCTCCACGATTTCTGGCAACATGGTTTCTTAGTGCATGTTGCACATTTCCCACCTCAGATTTACAACCAGCCACTTATTCAAGGATTTAATTATAGTATTAATGGGTCACACACGTATGGTTCAATTCTTGAAATATTCACGGAATACACATTCTCCCTTCAACCCCATCCCTGTCTTCAGCCAATGTTATTTGAACAGCCAATACTATTGTGTTTTTTTTTTTGTCATATAACAGGGCAAACACACAGAAATAGATATAGTCTTACTCCCAAGGTTGTAACTCAAATAATAGTGTACTACACTTATTAGGTTTGTCTGTGCTTATAGCTCTTCCCTTTCATTTGATTCTGAAAGATGCCTATGACAAGAAGATGCCTATGACAAAGAAAAGCTCAGGGTGGTGAAGTGACCAAGTGTTGTTATTAGCAGACAACACTCACATGCTGTTCTCTGGACTTGGAACGTCCCTCTTTCCCACCCTAGTCTTGTTGACACCTACTTATCTTACAAACCTCAATCACTTGGGAAGTCTTTCCCTTCCCTACAGTTCTTTGACCCTCTCCCCACCTCCACAATTAAGTGATGTTCTCCTGTTATAAGGCTTCAGCTCTCTGTGCACGTCTCCTTCCTAGCACATGTATGTAACTGTGTGAAATTTGTTTCCTGCCTCCGTGAGGACAAGGATTACATGTCTTGTTCGCTGCTGGCACACCGCAGTTTTTCAACAAAAATGTGCGAAGTGAAACTCGAACCCAGGCAGTCCAGCTCCGGGTGCGGTCTTCCTACTTCTGTCCCAATGCAGTTGGAGAAATAGTTCAAAGATGTAGATTTAATAATATTTTTAAAAATCTAATAGAAAAAGCTCGGAAATCTATTTCCAGGACTAATACAGAACCTTAGCGGAAACAGTTTACCGCTAGGTGTGACGACCGCAGGAGGGCGTCAATAGAGAAATTGGCCCTTTGCAATGGAGGCGCGTGAAGGCGCACAGGGTTGAGGCCACACTGCACTGGGAGAGACAGCGCCTCGGCTTCAACAGAAAACACTTGCAAAACAGAAGATCCCGGCTGCCTGAAGCTGTGACCCCCCCAAGGCTAAGGAGAAAGGACACGGAGGATCCCCCATTGCATCCAAGAGTACTTCGTAGCCTCTGCCTGGCACTGTACGACCTGATCCTCGCCTTGCATCCTGTCCCGAGCAGCTTCTACCAGCATCCCAGAGAAAGGGCTGGGGTCTGGGAGCTCCCCACTGAAATGGGCTGGGGCTGCCCCGAGACTGGAGCACCTGAAGTCTACTCGCCTGAACCCGCTAGAGTGTAACTAAGGGCGGAGTTCCTTCTCTTCGGAGTAGCTCTAGGAGCCAGGGGCTCTCTCCAGTTGTGAAGGTAAGAGGAGCCCCGGGCAATAACCAGTGTCACCGTTATTCCTGGGAGCGCACCGTACTGGAAGGGTTCTCTCGGGACTGCGAAGGCACAGCCCTGCCAGCGACCCGCGATCCAGCCTGATCCTGTCGCTCCTCGCCTGGGGCAAGCTGCCCCGACTCTGGACTCAAGCCCGGACCAAACTCCTGGCTGGGGCTATGGCCGCCTGGGCCAGCGTTCCTGGCAGCTGCCGTCCTCCCCTCTCTCCCGACGGACGCGGCTCGGCCTCTCCTGGAGGGTGTCTCCGGCCACGACGCCTGGAGTGCCCAGTGGAGACTGCAGCTCAGGACACCTAGCTGGGCTCGGGGTCCCCTGAGCCCGGCGGTCAGAGCGTTCCGGGGGCGTG